CCATGATATTTCGTTGATCTTCGTGTTTAAGGTTATACATTACATTCAGTTGTAACTTTGACAGGTAAAGAAACGGGGAATTCGGATTCGATCTTTATCAACCATAGCCTAATAGAAGATCCTCAAATCTGTAGCACATTCATAACAAAAACAATGGGGATTAGACAATTCTTGTGAACTTAAATGTATTATAATATTAGTTAAACATACACTATGCAAGAGCTAAATCTGCCTATTGCAGGTCTTTCTTTAGGCCTGAAATGTTAAATAAACTATTAATTAGACTTTTATCAACAAAACAAGACCATAATCGACTCTCGATAGCATCGGATACTCGAGATTTTAACTAGATTAAAACGGTTCGCCATTTAAAAATTTAATTTAAAAATGGGAAAGCGAGGCTGAGTACCGATTATACCAGTGCCCTGGTTACCACTGTGCACACATCTTGTCAAAACTACAAACAATGATAACTTGGCTGAGAATGAAGTAATTTGAATGAAATTTTCAATATTTTCTTTTTTTATCATCTATTTTTGAATTATTATAGCAAGAATGACCAACTCTTTATTAAACTCTTAACTAATGTATCTTTAATAAATTTGGGGGATCACGTGGCTAAGTGGGTGAGACGCTGGCTCGCTAGCCTGGAGGTCGGGTGTTCGATCCCTGCATTGGCCGAGAAAGTTCATCCAGATTTTCCGGCGTGGTTTCCCTTGACAGTGATGCAGGACGGAGGGCCTGACAAGGACAGCTCTCTAGTCATTCGGATGAGACGAAAAACCGAGTGTGTATACATTGGAATGCACGTAAAAGATCCCTTGGCAGTTGGAATTCGATATAAGAGTAGGCGATAGTGCCGCTGCCCGGGCAAAATTTCCCTCATAGCACACTGTATGGCGTATGCCCGTCTTCATTAGCCCAGGTTAGGAGCAGAACAGTAGGACGTTAAACCCCATTTCATTTCATTTCATTTAATAAATTTGAATATTCATTTCATCATCCAGATCACAGATAAAGAAAGAAAAGAGCTCCACGCTTTATTTAGTCAGGTAGATAGAACGACAAGTATGTTAACTGAAGCAAGGGTGCATGGCTCTATTTTTGTAACATTGAAATAGATGAAAATGGTTCTAAAAGCACTTATAAATATAATATGAATGTATGTAAAGTGATTTATATTTAGTTTTTGAAAGAAATATTTTTATTTCAAATCAATTATGTTCGGTGAAGTACGTGAACAGTCCAAATTGAACGGCAGTCGTTTACGTCTGCTTAGTCCATTCTACAAGTTTTTTTTAATTATCATTTTGTCGCTTGTGAATTTACTTCCACATTGTCTTGTATGGTATGGTTTTATTTGTTCATTACAAAATGGCACCCGAAATCATGGAGTACACGACTAGTGTACTGTTAATTATTGTGTCTTGAATATTGGATATTAAGATAGTATCTTTTCACGGCAAGATAACAACATCAATATGGAGGAAATCAGCTAATATTGAATTCTAATTGTGCTTTTAATTTCGAAAATTATGGAAAATATTGAGTTAGAGATTTAGCTCCGTTATGGCAGGGAAATACTAGAATAAATGATGTAGCTTCTTATAATGTGACGTCTACTGAATATAGAATATCGTTAATATACTCTCAACCGGCAGTACAATTCTTGATATTAAAGTAAATATTGTGTAATAGTATAATAATATGCTAAAAGTTTGTCACTTGAAGAGCACGGGGGGTTAAATAGAGAATTTGTCATACGTGGCTCCTCAACTATTAGGCTGTAACATTTTTAGACCATCATTCGATCTAGGTTTACCTGCAAAGTGCAATCTTCGTCACAACATATTATACTGTTTTGTAATTATATTTGTGAAATCTGACAATTCTTTTTTTGATCCACTCCGCCAAGACTTCTAGCACTTGTGTAAAAGAATAGTACCTTATTTTCACACAATACATCCCTACGTTCTCTTCACCAGTGTAGTTCTTGCCCTTTTTGGGTGAAACTACGTCTTAAAGATACATCATTCAAGATCTAAATTTGCCTATTGCAGGTCCTTCATTAGGCCTTAAATATATATGAATTATTAATTAGACATGTATTAACATGACAAGACCATATTCAACTCTCTAGGTCATCGGATTGCCCCGATTTTAAGTAGATTAGAAAGGTTCGACCATTTAATAATTTAATTTAAAAATGGGAAAGCGAGGCTGTGATAATAAACAATCAATGCACAATAATAAACTACAAACAATGATAACTTGGCTTAGAATAAATTAATTTGATTGATATTTTCAAATATTCATTTTGCATTATTTATTTTTGAACTATTATATTTTGAACTCTTTATCTAAATCTATCTATACTAATATTTGTGACTGTCGTTTGTCTGTCTGTCTGTTCGGGGTTGGCGGCTACACTAGGTCTGCTCCGAGTCTGAAATTTGGGGTATAGGGGTAGCTCGGACCGGGGAGTAACGTAGGCCAGGTGGCGTTAGTCTACCACTTCCGGTTTCGGAGTTATGACCCCCGAGCGAAGCCGGGCATTCTTCTAGTCTTACATAATACATAATGAATCTTTAAAGTAGCTAAGTCTCTAACTCAATATCATCCAAGTCTTCGACATTGAAAACACGAATTATATATATGTCAATTTAAATCAACATTGATGCTGTGATCTTACCGGGAAAAGATGGGCTTCTGATATCCAATATTTAAGACAAAATAAATATTTTAACTATTGGCACAAGGATCGTGTACCATAATGCGTTTCAGTGCCATTTATAAAAGGAATGTCGAAGAAAGAGGCTAGAGATATTCCACAAGTCATGTCAAAAGGTGAGGCCATATTCTTGTCTAGAGAGCATGCGCAATAAATACTATCAGTGTAGACTGGAATAACCAGGCGCTAGGGATTGCCATTCAATTGAGCATTCTGTCGTATTTTGCCGAACATAACTGATTTAGAATTAGAGTAAAAACAGAAACGATTGATGTAAATCAGCCTATATACACATTCATATTACATTATTATATGCGTTGCGACCCATTTGTGTCAATTATTGGGTCCCAAATATTAGCGATTTAGCTCCTTTAATATATAATGTTTTAGAGGCATTTAGTAACTGGATAGAGCAATAAACTATAACACATACTTATGAAAAAAAACAGCTACTAATTTATTTGGACGACGTTTCGGAGAGAATTTCTCTCAACGTAATAGCTTGATAACGTCTCAAGAATAGTCTTCGAAACGTCGCCAAAATCGTAGCTGTTTTTTCTTATATATAAGAGGAAAGAATTTGTAGAAAGTTTGAACGTATTAGCAATAGTAACGTGCATTATCAACAGCACAATAATAATTGCAACACTAGATCGCAGTTATAGACGATTATCTTCATTCGTCTGCGCAGGAGGTCACGGTGACTCAGAGAGTGAGACGATGGATCGATACAGGTTTTTGGCCGCGAAAATTCCTCAAATTATTCCTGACGAGTTTTCCCTTGTCAGCAGGTAAGCATCATCGTCTAGTCGTTGAGATGGGGCAAAAATCCAGAGTTTCCATGTACACATGGACGTACACGTAAAAGAACCCCTGACAGTTGAATTCGAATAATAATAGACGAAGCGGGAAGCATCAGCCGATAAATATTGCAGTTGAAATCTCGGGTACTCTTCGTGTAACTTACCTAAACCGAAATAATACGTATCACAGCAATGGGAAATAAGCAGTTAAATGCTTGCAACCGTTGTTACAGGAATATGGCTTGGTAGTGGTTTGGTGGGGATGGGGGTGGGATGTAACTAGTTAACCAGCTTATGTAGATCAGTAATTAGACTAGATGATATGTGTCGCTACTGCAGTCCAGTCTACCGAATTATATAATTCAATAACTGAATAGCGCCAGGTAAAATATATTATAGTATCTAGGTGAATGAAATCGGGACGTTAAAAATTACATTAAATAGTCGAAACTTCTATTAATGAAAATGTTGATCAAAAAAAAAAAGGGAAGTAAAACGTCAACATGTGACTTGTATCAATATTAAGTTACTGTTTTACTGCTTCCTTCTAGTATTTTGTATTTTATTGCCAAATAGGCTCTAAACCTGAATATATTCGTTTCGGGAATATAAAATACTGCTGTAGACTTGCACTTACGATTTATAACGGTCAGTTCTATGAAGATAACCGTTTTCGTAAGGTGGTTGAATAAAGATCAAACACATCCGATACTAACTATATTCAAAATACAAAAATGCAGCGAATGAACCTACTATTAAGTCCAAGCAGGGTGATAAAATGAGAGGACGAATGGGGCTGTGGCACGGGGTATCTGTTCCAGTTCATTTAAGCATTGGAAATCGGATATGTTTTGGATTATCGGCAGTATTTCAGGTGAGAAAACAAAATCAACTCTGGCAGTAGTCACAAAAACCCAGACATTATTTAGTTTTCAAAACTTAAAGATGCATTATGTAAGAGCTCAGTTTTCCAATCGCAGGTCTATAAATGGTTGTTAAACATATTCACGTGGCAAGCCCCTAATGGAGTCGTCGGGCGGCTCCGCGTTCAAGTAGTTTAGAATATTGCGGCCATGCAAGAGTTTAACGATAAAATAGATAATCGAGACCGAGTCTCGATCGTTAAGTACCGTTGCTACGATAATAACAATCTACGCTACATTTTGGCAATACTTCAAACACTCATAACTTCGAACAGAATAAAGTAATTTGGTTTAAATTTTTAAAATTATAGTATTTTATCAACAACATAATGCATCTTTAATTTAAAAAAGGGTTTAGAGAGGGAACTGGAAACCCAAAAGCTAATCAGCAATATTGTCATAGACACCCACCCCCGTCCCTGGGCCTCTAATTCTATGATTTGACGTCATTATTTACAAGGTACCCATACTTCTGGAGTAATGACACAAGACACAACATCCTGTGGACATATTTCTAACCTATATTGAAGAGAAAAGTCTGCATTTTTAAAAAGTAACAATTTATTAGTAATATGCATAATTTGCTGGTATGTGATAACATTGAATTGTATTATGTCATAACATCATTACGTTTGTTATTTACAAATAAAAATAATATAATGATTGGCGCACAAAGGTAAATACTAAATATGCATTATCCTTAAATGCCAATTATAAAAGTGAGTAGAAAATTGGGGTTAAAGGTTAAACATTTAAATATAAATCATCATTATGATACATATTTCACCTTCAAAGCGGCAACTTCAAGGAGAAATTTGGCGTCTCGTGGTGTATATATTTATTATAACTGTACAATATATAGATCTCTGATAATATATTATAGCACCTTTATTTATATATCAATAGTTGACCTTTGACATAATGAACTTTTCGAATTTTTGTTATTTACGTCTAAGATCTTTAGTCTTTATTTTGCTTACGGCTCATAGATACGGGTCTATACACAATAAGCGATTACCGATTTGTTCGATATATAAGCATAGGGTCAATGTTATTCTATTACTACCCGTCGGCCATTCTTTATCGATCCGTTATGCAATTATCCAACCTTGTCGATTGAATATGTAAGTTATTTATATACAAAGGTAAGTTATCAAAATAAAGAGGTAGATAAAGGGTATATGTAAAAACTGAGGGGGGGGGGGGGGGGGGCGGGGGTTGGTAATCAAGTCGAAGTCAATAAAATAATTGAAGGTGGATCAAACAAAATGCATCGCAATTGGAAATCAAAACATGAACTTATACCCCCGAGATGAAATATACCAGCGTAGATCCGTAAATATAAATAAGGAACCAAGGTTCTGATACTAATCAAGCAACATCGTGATTTTATTGTCTACAATAAATTTTGTACCAACCGAAAAAAAAACCCAACAGAACAGTCATCCCTTATAGATCTATGCAGTTTTGGTAAGTTAGTCCACTATTTCATCATGGGCGCCATGACATAATTCATGGTGACTTACAGATGCTAGCGATAATTTCAAACAAGGGTATGCGAAAGACAAGGTGGGTAATTGAAAGGGGTATGCCTTCATTAGAAAAACATGTTACAGACCTACCAAATTTTCAAATTGTCTTAATGTATTATTGTAAAATCTACGTCAGTTTTTCTGATAAGTTGACATGTAAGTTTTCTAAATGTATAATGGCAAAATCTACGTCAGTTTTTCTGATAAATTGATATGTAAGTTATTGAATCCCATTCAATATATAAAAAAAAAACAATACGTGCAAGTATGAGTTAAGATGATATATAAATAGCGTTTATACTAGTATTATATTGTTTTCTATTGTTAGTAAAAATAGTATTTCATTAGATCATGTACTATCAAGTACATTAAATAGTTTTTAATGCACAAAATAAGATATTATAATCCGTCAAGTCCGCTCCTAGTGAATCCCATTAGCTTAATCCTCTTGCGTAATCCATTTTTACAATAGGGGGATTATTAATTAGAATAAATGTATATATAACTTACAATATAATAATAACACATTCCAGACAGGTTACTGATATATACGTATTATTATATTATGCATTGTCACCTCAGGTCCATGTCCTCGCGTCAATTCCTGAATCAGTTTCCATCACAGTCCAATCTTTTCGTTGATATTATCAATACAATTTGCAGTTTCTATGACATAAAATCATTAAAGTTTAAATTATTAAAATCCAGCTGCAACATATCCATTGATAAAATCGCCACTAACAGAGTTCCGTGCGTAGTTTGAACAACATTTTATTTGCAACATAGTAAAGTTATTTATTATCCAGTTTAAAGTTGTTATCAAAAACACACTTTGGGTCCACAATATCTCACCAAAACACCAGAATAACTTAGTATAAAGCGAATCCTTCGGCATCACCATTACGACCCTTACTAGCCATAAGTTCATTTAAATCATAGGTCGACTGGCTGTCATGTGGCCCAATGTGTCTTTTTTCTTCCATTAAACTCCTGGAAAAGGCTCTTTCGTGTTTGAACTGATTTTCGAATCTACGGAAATCGCGCGGCACATGTGGGTCATTTTTGTCGGCCAAACCACGTGGTACTTCAGACATATATCCTATGCTATCTGTAGAGATATCACTTGGGTTACCCTTTCTCTTTGATTTCTTTTCTTTGCGATTCTTTTTGGCCTTCTTTTTGTCGAGTGTTCTGCTTCGCTCGACTGGTGCTGGTACGGATCGTGATCGTTCAACATAGTAGAGTGGTACCCTGGATGGATAAGGATAATAGTCGTAAGGTGAAGTCATTTGTTGGGGATAAGCTTCACCGTTACGTATCACTGTAGGGTAGTAATTAGGGTGGTGCCGCATTTCATGCTGCTCTTTACGACTAACTCTTGGTTTTCTCGGCCCCTTTTTGTCATAATCGGTCGGCGGTGTTCTTGGTCTGGAACTGACCTCGCTTGAAGCATCGCCTCCGTCGCCATTTACAACCTTTCTAGCGAAATTGAAATCTGGAGAAGATGATCTGGAAGAAGCTTGATCATGTGCTGAATGAGAATGAGAAGCAGATGATTCTGATCCTCTTCGACGATTTCTCTGTTTTACCAGATGAGGAGGAGGTCCATCAATGATCATTGGTGGCGGTGGTGGCGGCACTAACATGTATGGCTCCTTCAATCTGGAAACGACTTTTGGCCTAAGAAGAGAGGGTGGGGGTGAGAAAAAGCGAGGTCTGACATGTACTGGAACTGGCATAGAACGTACCGGAATAACATTTTGTCGTGGTCTTGGTAAAGTATGGATAACAGTGGGTGGCGGAGCAGGTCTAGATGTGGCGAAACTGTATGCTGATCTTCTGTCGACACTACGAGCAGAGAGGGGAGGTGGGGATGTAGCACGTATTCTCTCGCCTTCATTATCCGATACCACTTGCTCAACAGAGTATTTTTTTACCGGCGATGTTTTGGTTGAATAAAAATATCCCTGCTGGGGTGGCGTTTCATAAAACTCCGGAGCAGCATTCTGTCGAATTTCACCTGATACTAATCTCATGGGTATAGCATCGCCGTTGCTGTGGCCATTTACCGCTGATTTCAGGGTGTTGGTTTGAACCTCTCCGTGGTAAGAGTGAGTAGTTATGGACCCGTTTACTTTCTGTTTGCTTATCCTATCAGCTGTGGATGTAGCATGTACCAGATCCAAGGCATCTCTATCTGATTCACATACAAATCCGTGACACTCGAGAACCTTTTTACCTTGGGTACGGCGTGTGATGGCTGTAAATACGGCGGGTCGTTTGGCATTCGATCCTTTTGACGCAGGGGAACTCAAAGACACAAATTTAGAAACTTTTTCCTTCTTATCATTGTCTATGTACGACACACAGCGTACTGCGGCACATAAATTTAGAGAGGTTATCGGAAATAAAATAACTTCTTTTGATCGATCGGCATACTCCAGTTGTAATCCACTTGGCAAGACAGTCAAATACGACATGATCCCTTCAATTTTCGAATCATCATCAACAGGATAGCGGGTTTTCAGGGGCTGTTGAACGGATTCAAGACCCTCTGATGTTTCCATTGGCACCGCAGTGCCAATAAACAACACCCTACGGCGAATAAGTTCGTCTTTCACCACCATTTTGAATTATTACAAAAGTTACTCCGATCTAAGAAAGTTTTTGTTTTCTTTTTTATACACTTGAATATTCACAGCCGCGGTATGAAGACAGCGGCCTGGCTATGAGACAGCCCACGACTCCTAAACTATAACTGTTAAAATCTTTGTGTACTGACCTCCTTTGCCATTTGTGTAGAGGGAGTAGTTAATTCTCGCTACCTGAGTGACGTCGTCAAATTACCCAAGTCCTCACACAATCCAGTGACTCATTAACTAGCAAACTGATTTGGTAGAAAGAAAACGGTGAAAGACACATGCACATAAAATAAAAAATACGTCCGCTCGCTAGATATTGTTCGCTCCTTTTGTTAAATCCATTTAATAGCCACTGGATATTTTCGCCACGCTGTCAAACTACTATCTGACGACCAGGGCTGTCTTTACAGACGGCTTCACACACTATCTGTCAGTGGGTATGAACAAATTCCTTGTTCACCACGCATGACTTGCGCGCTGACAAGAAAACCGGTTTTGCGGCTAAATAAAGGGTATTATTACAGCGAAATGTGACCTAGTACGTATTCAAACCCACAAGTATAAGGTAGCCCCGTGTGTCACACACAGTGTAAATACGATACGATTTACATGTAGACTAGACTGTCCATCACTGCAGGTGTGATAATTGAGTTTTACTGCGAAGTTCCCATTTAAGTCACGTTCACACCGTAGGATTTATTGTTTTGTCTAGTTTTATCTGATCACCATAACAAAAGATCACAACAATACTATAAATTATACATACCTGAAATTAAGTTGTCAATAGGTTTGACTGAAGGGACTAAAAAGTAGAATCACAGTTTAATTAAACCTTATACGAATCATGAATAATGAATATGCAATATTTCAATGAAGATTATAAATGGGGTCCCTTGTATTATAATAATGAGATTGGAGAATGTTGATTTATTTTAGCTACAAAAATTGTTTCCAATATTTGTCCAAAAATAATTAAATTAATGGAATGTTATTTATTCAACACTTCTAACCTAACAGTCTAATTATCAGAGGGAGTAAATTACATGAATTTTATATTAAGTTCTCAGTAAAAGACTACTGCTGATGTCTTCCTGGACACCCATACTATATGGATGGGGAAATCATATGAATTTTATATTGTGTCCACACTAAACGACTACAGATGTGTTACAAAAACTTACTAACGATTGGGAAAATTATGAATTTTATACTATGTTCTTAGTAAAAGACTACAGCTGATGTCTTACAGAAAATATACTAACGATCGGAAAAATTATGAATTTTATACTAATAGTCACTAACAAGAAAATTATTTTGAATTGTTAACAAGATTACAAATTTCAATATCGTTAGCCCTGAACTGGGGGGGGGGGGGGCAAGTGTCGCACCTTTCAAATTGTAACTTCGCCCAGAGCAAATTAGAACTTGGACTGAGCCCATTGATGTATGATTCTTGTTTTAACTTTTAATTGTGTTCCCCACATACAAGTTAATGTTCGCAGATTAGAGCAGCGATATAAACAACTCTTAATCCCTATGATAAACATCGGTGTTAAATTACGTCATCAACATGGTCGCGTCTATGTAATATGTACAAATAAACTGTTATCGATAAGGCGCAATAAAATAGAAATAATACTTTAATTGCAAAGATTAAAGTTAGAGTACAGTCATTAGCAGTGTCTAGGTTGAATTCAGTTCTATCTCCACGTCAAATTTAACCACAATTACGGAGTTAACACTTACCGCTAATTGCTCGAATTTTGGGGGTGGACAAATAAATAAAACCCCATCGTAAATCCTTTTTATTCATCCCTCTAAGTGTTTTCTCCGTGACCAAAACGAAGATACATGCTATATATATATATATATATATGTTTGTTCCATCACCGTTTGTTATGTCTAGGGGTTTGTTATGTATTTATCCTGCGTTACTCATGCTTTTTACATAAATGAAGCTATAAGAGGGAAACGTTATTAAGTTTTAAAGTATTACATTTTGAAAGTTTTTCGTTCAGTATTCAGATACACTGGGCTTGAAATCAAATATAACACTAGAAGAGTTTCCAATGGCGCTTTCTATAGATAAATGTGTTGAAGTTATTGTGGGTCTATTAGGCAATTTAATGTATTGCTTTTCTCGTTCGTTAAAAATATAAGACATGCAGTATTTTAAAATAAAAACAAATTTAGATGGTTGTGTTGTTGTTCTTATCTTAGTATTAAACGTCCGCTTCTAACGAAGGTGATATCGCAGACAAGTTATCTTATTTTCATTTTTGATAATTTTAGCGCACGCGCAGGGGTCTTTCCTGTGGGAGTACCCGGAGTAAACCCACGAGGTTGAGAAGTCGTCCCTATCTCCAAGCCACATAAGCTCACACCAGGGATCAAAACCACAACCACAACCACAAGTGACCGGTCAGCAAGAGGTCGAAGCGCGACACTGTAGACCACTAGGCCATCCCAACCCCGCTTTAGATGGTTCAACAGATGGGCCAATTTATTCTGTCTGTGCATTTTATTACATGTACGACTACGTACGTGTACGTGTTCACGTAGATAAAAGCTTGATTCATTTTGACACGTTGGGTTTTTTAGTTGAATCTTTGATATTTTGTGGATGTGTTTTAAAAATGTGTTGCTTGTAGTGCATGTTTCGTTGCGCAGTATAACCCCAATGGCCGTCATTCAATCCATCACCATTCAAGCTCAAAATTAACACGAGTCTAGAATCACAAAAAAACAGATCTAACCCAGGACCATATGCACAAAGAAATTAAAAACAAACATTAGTTTGGCTCTTTTTTTAACCACGCAGGAACATGGCTACCGTGTACAGCATTTTATGTATTATTATCCTGCCCGAAACTTAATTTAAGTCTTGAACTAGGGTGTGTTCTTTCGAAATGTTATGGGGCCATTTTAAGCCAAAGTTGGGCTCTTGCCTATAAAATGTAAACCACCCTGGCAATGCTTGTTCTTCATTTCCCCGCGTTAGCTTATAATTTCAAAACTTATCTACATTATTTTTTCAAAATCGGATACGACTTTTCATTTTGTGTGAACATAACCTAATACATGACGGTGTATTAAGATTGACTGGTAATTCTAGTCTACATATAAGTGTAAAACACATCTATTACAGGTAAACTTGACGAGCTTCTCTTGTTAAATTTGCTTCATTTTCAATAGCCTTGCGCAATCTCGTACAATACAGTTACCCACTAATGAGCGATTTGGCGTCGTCTTGTTACAAGGAGGTGGGGCGACACCGAACAAGGTAACTGTAAATATCTTGCGACCCCACAACAAGCAAACCAATTACGAAAGAAAGGAATGTCGTGAATTATTTTGTATGAGAGAAAGAAAGAAAAAATACCGGAGATAAACCTGTCCGCTCCCCATTCACGAACTATGTTAATCCATTCGTTTTCATCATTGTTTTAAGCCATTGAGAAAACTGTTAAGATTACTTGTTACGTCATTGTTAAGGACAGGCCACTCCACGAGGTTCGTTAGTGTCATTGTTTTAGACGGTGTGAAACGTGTTAGGTTAACGTTCTATATAGTTGTTAATTTTACCGGGTGGCTTTAACCCTTAATTACGGTTTAATCCAGTCATTGGTAAATATTGAATTTATAATTCCTATCCTTGACGCCATTGGTAAAGCACTTATATAACACCTAGTTGTAGTCAGCTTAGTCCTCACAAATTTGAACATGTTTAAAAGAGCCCGGGGTGATTTAGGGAGGAACACATTATTGTGGTAACATGTCATTAGAGTAACCATTAAGAGCTTGGGTGTAAGATTTCCAGAATGCATAAAAATTCAACACACGTTGTGGTAGTGGACGTAAAACCCCAGCCAGTCGCTACATAAAATAATGTACATAGTCGTCCCCCAAAAGTATGAATTTTTAAAATTTTAAACTAAAAAATAAACCCACGAACTGTAAGCTAGATATGTGGAGTTAATTCGCAGAGTTCTTGAATGTCCTTAAGGTAGTGGACGTAAAACCCCAGCCAGTCGCTACATAAAATAATGTACATAGTCAACCCCCAAAAGTATGAATTTTTAAAATTTTAAACTAAAAAATAAACCCACGAACACTGTAAGCTAGATATGTGGAGTTAATTCGCAGAGTTCTTGAATGTCCTTAAGGTAATTTTGTTCGAAGATTGAATTTACATTGAACAGTTTGTTGTGTCGTTGGTTTTAAACTCAAGGGGAATACATATGGGTCTGATCCAGAAAATATGGAAGGAGGTGTGATATTGGAGGTGATATCCGTCTGGGAAGTTTGGAAAATGTTTTGGTGCGATATATAACCCTTGTCTACAGTTTTACAATATCATTTCCTCAAATAAATCCGCTGTAGAATATTGTTTGTTTGAAAGTTGTTTTCTTCATTATGCCTTAATATCGTTCGTTCGTTTTACGTCCACTTCTACCAAAGGTGATGTTGTAGACAACTGCCTTAATAACATTTAGGGCCAATTTATACTATAAATCCATGGTTTCCATGGTGATATTTAAAATTGACTGAATGTTTTTCATTCATCCATGAATTGGGTTAATGGTTGACATTGGTTTTGACATTTGCAACGCTGAAATCAATACCCGAATATTAGAAATCAAAGTCCCGATCTCTAAAGATGATTGTTGATGATGATTGTTAAGAACTGGTCAGCGGTGTCATATATATCAGGTAATATCTAAAGTCATTAATTATATTCAACCAGTTGTTGTCTGGGGAGGTGACTGGTATTTCTATTACATGTCTAAACTGTCAAGCCGTCCATTGTAGCGTTTTGACTGATTGTAGTTTTGTCCTGTTATATAAATCGATAATATCGATTATTTAAGTAATGTTTTATGGAGAATGCATAATGAATTATTTAATACGCCGTCTGCTGTGTATTTTATCGATGTGATCTAAAAAAATCAAACGTATTTTTAAGTCAGTACAGCAACGGATACGTGTAGTGGTGTAATCAAAGTGCATTTCCAAAATCATAAATCGATGAACATTGAACAGCAATCAATGTATTAATGTTTTATTGTAAAGCTTTATTTTTCTATCTTTATTTTCTTATTATTATTTTGCATACGATTATCTTTTTGCCTCATCGACATAAATGAAATGAAATGGGGTTTAACGTCCTACTGTTCTGCTCCTATACTGGGGTAATGAAGACGGGCATACGCCATACAGTGTGCTATGAGGGTAATTTTGCCCGGACAGCGGCACTATCGCCTACTCTTATATCGACTTCCAACTGCCAAGGGATCTTTTACGTGCATTCCAAACCACGTCGGAAAATCCAGATGAACTTTCTCGGCCAATGCAGGGATCGAACACCCGACCTCTAGGCTAGCGAGCCAGCGTCTTAACCACCCAGCCACCGTGGCTCCTCATCGACATAAGCATCGCAAGAAATAACTTATATATCACCAATATAATTAATGTATTCAAAGTGCCGAGTTCCGTCAGAATTCCGCCTGACAAGAACAGCTGTCTAGTCGTTCGGATGGGACGAAAAACCGAGGACCCGTGTATACATTGGCGTGCACGTAAAAGATCCCTTGGCAGTTGGAATTCGATATAAGAGTAGGCCGTTGTGCCGCTGTCCGGTCAAAATTTCCCTCATAGCGCACTGTATGGCGTGTGCCCGTCTTCATTAGCCCACTATAGGAACAGAACAGTAGGACATTAAACCCCATTTCATTTCATTTCCGTCAGAATTTCCCGCTGAGAGGGTATGTTGATTTTGATCCTGTATCCCTTGTGCGTCGTTATTTGAAGTGTCAATGAAGATTACCCCCACCCCCTATCCTCTAATTATTTGGATGTTAGAATAGTGTAAGGCATTACGCCATGGATCAAAGACCTTATCATCCATGCAAGGCTTTGTATCCCATGGCCTACGTGACAATCAGGAGAGTCGACCATCCAATCTAGGTTCGCCAGTGTCTCCCGGTTGGCAATCAATGAGCGATATTTACATGCGAATTATTAAACAAATATATACCACATACGACAGAAATGACCCATTTGTGTCGAGTACATTTTAATCCCATTTAACATTCTAAATATTTTAGCACTATGGGTTTTATTGCTAAATAATAACTATAAATAAGCGTAACACCAACGGCGTTTTTCTACACATTTCTAACCAAGTCTAGTACATGTATATATAATTGTTAGATGTAATATAAAGTATATATACAGTGCCGAGAGCTTTTGTTTTATACAAATCTAAGGTCGGGTGATGAAACACACGACCTTCGTAGAAAAAATTGGAAAGGATTAGTTCTTGTTTTATTATTTTAACATGAATTTAAAAACAAAGTCCGGCATTCTAGCAGCATGATTGACTGGGCTCTCCATGCACAAATATTGATATTCTAGCAAATGATTGTTCCAGATTGTCCAGGGTATCTTCTAATAATGGTGGGGTTATGTATGCAAATTGAACGCCAGTGTGTGGCAAAAAGTGAAAATATATTTATAACATATACTTTTATGTATTATTTATATTGTTCATTTGTATGAGTGACTTGATAATTATAACGGTAACTTACAAAAGTATATAGACATGGTTATCAAGACGGTGTGGGGACCCCGGCTTTAAAAAAATGAAAGCATGACAGCGCTTTAGACCGGGAGTTGGAATGGTCGTGGTTTCGATACCTGGTGTGGGCGTATGTGGCTTGGAGATAGGGATGCCTTCTCAACCTCATGGGTTTACTCCGCTAAGATATTAACCATAAGACAACTTGTCTGCGATATCACACTCACTGGAAGCGGACGTTACACTCTAATAGAGCGCGCTTTGGACATTTGCAGTTTGCATAGTACTAGGATATAGGTTTCTAAAACCTTTTTAAATAATAATATAATTATCCAGTTTTATCCCCAGATAAATGTATCTGAGAATGCCCTCTTCATGATGGAGATCGGTCGTCTATACACTGAATAGATAAAAAAAAAAAGCTTAATGGTCTGTTTATTTTGAGCAATGTGTTGGGGTCTGGGCAATTGAGTCAATTAGTGGCGTGTTTTCGATCCATTCGTGACAAGGAGTAGGATCGCCTGTCTAGCCTCGTGGATTTCCCCCGTGTCCCACAGGTTCGCCCTACTGCTAAAGATCCATGATAGCAAACAAATTATTGAAATAGACAGCACACTGTGTTTTATTAAATCCACTCTGTCAATGTTTTATCCACATCAAATACGTCATTTAAGTGAAATAAAACTAGATTATTATTTTTTGTTTGGTAGGGTGTGTGTAGTGTGTTTGTGGGGGGGGATAAAACAAAAACTGAACATTTTAATATTTTATTGTAAAAATATGTGTAGACAACAGATTATAGATAATATCAAGAAATATGATGGTAGGTCTCCGAATATAGGTAGTACGGTATCTATATTATTATTGGGTTAGTTAATCTGTTAATCCCTTAGATTATCATGTAATTAATACTATTATTATAGGTTACCTTGGGTATATATTTCAAATAAAAATGGTACTAACAAGCAATAATATGTACAACAAGCATTTAATAACTCAATATTCATAATATAAATAGGTCAACACAATCTTTCATGTACATCCCATACCAATTTTTTTAGGTATATTTGCAACATAATCTTTTGTTTAATTTGGTGCGTTCACATGTTTAAGCCATGGATGGTCGCATTTTTCGGATAATAACTAATTTCTCACTGCTTCATTCATGCTAAATGTACTTATTTAGCATGAATTATTTAACATTTAATTGGATTCAGTCGAGTTAAAATGATGCCGATCAAAATATTTTAGCCATATTCAGTTTATAATATTTCTTTGTAAAATTTATACTGAACAGAACTGATCCATTTTTAGACTGGTATTCCTTCTAGATGTCTCAATATTCTATAATTTATATTGACAGTATTACTTCGATCCAAACTCTCGGAGATTCCTCCACCCCACCCTAGCCCCCAATATCCAGAGGGTCCTTCTCTTGTCAGCCTCACAGGCACTACCTCTGGTAAATGGGAACTGACCTTGAAAGATCCAGACGTTCTTCTTGCCCAACGCATGAATTCGACATTCAAATGACATTACTGAGAGACTATTGCGGCCCCAGGCGACAAGCGACCACAATCTGATACTATCTGAGAAAGGTCATAAAATTTTATTTGGCTACAATCCGATGTGTCAAACCGTATTCATTCACCATGACTAAGTATGCAAACTTAAGATTTTAATTAAATATCTCAGTGACTGAGTGAATAAGAACCAATGCGACACGTTCCTAGTTAACCAATGATTCGGTTTACAATATAACTCTTGACTGTACTCCCAGCTCTATAAATGCTAATAATTTAATCGACATGGTTTAATGCATGGATTCCTGGGCCAGTCAGTGCCCAAAAGTAGGGCGTTAAAGCCCATTTCATTTCATTTCACAAATTACTGCCTTTCGAACACATGATCAGTGACCTTGGACATTTGCAGATTAGCATGTCCTGTATTTCGAACACTTACCATCTCGCTGTCTAAGTGTTAATATTTATAACATAATCTACATAAGTAATTATTAATTCTTATATAGTAGTATACACATTATTACACTCATATATTATTCACGATACTACAAATATACTATGTACACCAATAATGTAAACGTTTAGCCTCTTAACATGATTTGGCATATAGACAATATTACGAAGAAAAAGAGCAGTAATATAATCTAAGAGACTTATACAATCTATGTGACTTACACAGTCTTTAATAAATTTATACAAAAGAGAGACAGATTGAATAAAAAAAAGGCATAATATGTTACACGTCAGAAAATTCTTTGTCATAATATGCCTGGCAGCTAATTGCAAAACATAAACTAAAAGTATTTACCTTTAAATATACATAACTGCATTTTAAATTACGTTTCATGTAATTTTCATGTTGTTCTCCATGTTTTAAGTCAGATCACAGGAACGTCTTAACTGATCAATCTGTATGTATTGTTATGGTATACAGGACTGTATATTGCGATGAATGGTGCGATTAGTAATGAGTGTTTTAATCGGACGCTATGGTTGTCTGATAAAAAAAAGAGTTCTTCCAGACAGAACATGGTGATGTTGAAAAGTTATAAACGAAACGAAATTATAGTCTGATCTGAACTTGATTGTTCATGGGTTGGTTTTATATAAACTGGTTTTTCTTTTTCGAAATTCCAAAATGTCATCAAAACAGATCTATCTTCTAAGTATATTTTAATAAGCTATACATAAAATTATATAATATATGTATTAAATAACAGAGAGAGGGTATTCTATTTACCCATAAACTACTTTTATATTCCTTTAATTACATTATGCTGGAGTGTTACATAATGTACAAAAATATGAACATAAATTGTTTTGTCTTAATATAAAGCTTCTTCTGGGATATATTTTCGCCTGAAGCAGTTGTTCATACAACCGACCATTCACATATCCAAGCTGCTTTTTAACCAATTCGTTCTTTACATCGTAAAGTTCAAGTCGTGCACCCTTGACATATTTAACCTTAATCAGCCTAAAAATATATCCTCCAAAATCACGAGGAACACGTAACGATAGACCTGACCCAAGTGACCTTTCGCCGAATTCTACACAGTTCGTTTGTATCAAGATTACTGGTACCTTTACACTGGCCATTAAATACCATTACCCGGAATGCTGGGAACGAATTAATGGCGTCATCATTATTGCGTGTTAGAAATAAGACCTGTCCAATGTAAATATATTCGTATTAGTTTGTTTTTCATCGCACAAATAAGAAGAAGGCTGTATTTGCGTTTACTCGTCCAGATTGGAGTAAAAGATCAGTAGTTGGTTTACATTTGTCCTAATGTCTATATCAACACGCCCATAGCTACTATCAAACACACAAATACGGATATATATACATTGTAAATGTGACGCTTTTTTTCTAGTTCCCTGGAAGGAGTTAAAGGATGTAAATAAATCCAATTTGTTTTGTCACAGAACGAGTTACAAGTTTCTAAACGATTTTATCACCTTCGTAAACAAATTCAAGTATTCGGAAAACCATCTGTATCTCAGAAGCACTAGATAATGGTTACGGCATATGCCGTGTGGTAAAGGTTTTAAAAATCCAAATAGGCATATTCAAAGTTACTACTGAAACTTGTCTAATGAACTGTCCCTTCCAAAAATGTCAGGTGATTGTAAAATGTTAATATCAATATTCATTTGATGTAATTTGGCTTCCATAAACATACGTGCCATCTTGGGGTTTAACGACATACATGCTGTGTGGACGACGACGGCGCATCGTGGGAACACCTTGGATGTAATCGCGTCTAATAAGTATAGGACGTGGGTAAATCTGTTCAATAGGTCGTTCGATCACTGAAGGTACCATGCCATAAGAGGGCGAAACTACCTTGTAGGTGCTAGATTTTCTTCCAACCGTATACGTTTGTGGATTACCTTGGACGATGACGCTCCCGGTACTTTTTCTACTTCTACTGATAGTCGAATCTGGATACGCAACGGTAGCAACGTTGTTGTCTCGCTCCGCTGCGTAAATAACTCCGTCCTCAACATCCAAACCGCCGCTACGCCTTGAAACATTTATTTCGGGCCCCGTTATCGCTTTTGTGTCTCCATTCTTCTTAACAGTATGAACTCTATATTGTTGCTTCTCCAATTCGGATAGGTTTGCATAATCTGCTTGATCGAGATAATTCTCATAATTTTTTGACGACCTGTAAGAATGGGCGACAAGATGTTCAGGTCCATCTACCACAGTCCTCGACCTCGTCTTGGGGGCTGTCTGGACCCCAAAACTTCTTCGATAGTCAGGAACATCCACTTTAACGCTTCCTGGTGATCGAGGCGAACCACCATCGTTATAATCATCAATGTTCTCTATGACAACTATGGGTTCCGTGTAGTTCGGTTTGGTTTCATTATTATAGTTTATAGCATGGCTGACGTTGTTGTTGCCAACGGGCCCTCCTTGGGAAGCTATTCTATAATGTTCTTGAGCACTTATGCCAGTAGATTTTTCCAGAAGGTATTTAACTTCGCGAAGCTCCGTCGATAGTGCATCTATTTCATCTTTCATTGACGAGACGTTAGAAATGACGGACTCCGAGTCGTCCTCTGTTCCAATTGCCTGGATCCCCACATTATGGATTGTTCTACCCCGGTCATACGAGTCCTCCCTGGATACTGGATCGAATGCGTAGGTTGTTTTTGTTCGTCCATTGACTGGAACGTATGGCGTTTGGTCGTAAAGAGTCGGTTTCTTATTGACGCCATTTCTCTTCTCGGTTTTCTTATAGAAAAGCCCGCCATTGATTTGTGGAGCGGTTGTCACAGTGGTGGTGGTGGTGGTCTGATCGGTGCTAAACAATTGTTGAAGTTCTCGTCTTGCGTTGGCATTTGATCGATCTCGAAGTGTCCAATTTCCGTCTTCCTTTTGTCTAAATTCAACGTTTGCCGTGTGGCCTACAGATTTTTTCAAAGCTTTGAAGTTTTGGACAAATGTCCCAACAATTAATTCCGATTTACAACGAAATGCAACGATCATATATTTGTGGTTAGGATCTTTCACAATACACAGTAAGCACTTTGGATGTTTTTGGTTGATTGTCATGAAAAATATATCATGAAGAGGTATATAATCGAAGAGGGTTTTACCCTGAAAAAAATTACTTTTTGTGATTTTTAAACCTTCGGGCAAAAGGTTCAGCTTTACTTTGCGTCCTTTTTCGAGGGAGGTCAGCGTCGCGATCTCTCTGATGATGTTGTCCGTGACTGCATTGTCCTTCCACGTACCGATATAGTAAGCTTTCTGTTCTAAAATCTTTTCAGACATTTTGAATGATGATTATTTTTTAATTGGTAGAGTAGATCAAACATGCAGAATTCTTGCTTTATAGGGCATCAATTCATCGTGACCTTGCACCAAAACCTGAAAAGATAAAAGCAAATCATCTTTATTAGAGTATCCAAACTGTAAAAATTAAATGGCCATCACTCACTGTTTGTATTATTTTCTTAATCTAAACAACCAGCCCGGTGACTTGTGGATGGCTATAGTTCCGAGGTTACGTTCTTTGAAGAATTTTCGGCGTCTGAAATCCAATTCAAAGCGATATATGTGTAATGAAATGAGGCTCAATGTTCCACGTTTCTGCTCCGTCCGGGCTATAATGAAGACGGGCACTTCTACGTGCACGCTAAATTTGAACACAGGGCTCTGGTCTTCGTCCCATCCAAACGACTAGAACATGTACCAGATCCTGTGCCATGCCAAAGAACTTTCTCGGCAACCACCAGGATCGAACCTGGGTCCTCGCGCCTAACCCACTGAGCCTCTGCGGCTCCCCTACCAGAATACGTTAACACTAGTGATTGGTATCGTGCATAGGACCAAGTATACATATATTATAATCAAATATGTATCAAGTATGACGCGTTACCATCTGCATCTCGCCCACGTTCTTTCCAAGTGTGCATTTATATATTGTAAAATACATAGTGATTCTACATTAAAGATTGATATTACCGTCATTATTTATTATGCCATGCTATAAAGTAAACAATGGGCTATGTAAGTAAACAGCATTAATTATAAAGAAGAGTAGGTGGGCTGAGCTAAACAAATATTCTAAACCCATTATGTAATGTATTATTCGTGTATTACTACATTCTATTTATTATTACTATATTTTCAAATTAAACGTTACAGAATTCAGTAGATCAATATAGGTATTACCATTTGAACATTGCCCTTTGATCTCAAAGCATTGTGTATATAGTAAAAGTTTAAAATACGGTGGCTATGAAAGGGAAAATGAATAATTTTAGAACTTTTCAATAATATTATAAGAGTTGTTTCCCTTTATTATATATTAGTACAACTGAGTGAAATTGTGATTAATTGGTGAAATCTACCTCTATATGTCTTATAAGGATTATACAACTAAGTCGTATACATTGAATGATTTGTCTGTTTGTCTGCGATATCACTTTCGTTAAAGCGGACGTTAAATCCGACGAACGAACGAAAATTGGATTTTCTGCCATATCTCCACCGTGAAAGCAGAAATTAAACGTAGCAAGGGACAACGTATAGTTGTTCGGATGGAATGAAAAACCGAGGTCCCGTGCACACATTGGCGTGCACGTGAAAGATTCCGTTAGAAAGTTCGGAATAGATATAAGAGGAGACCGTACCGCCGCTGTCCGGGAAACAGTCATTGAAGTCAGTCGACTTTGGATTCTTTGACTTTAAATACCGCGATTGAGATACTAACAATTCCGTACACTTCATGGACATTCGATTAGTGACAAAAATATTATTCGCATCTACAAAAATATTATTCGCATATTATTTATCTAGAAAGCAATTATTCGCAAATTTTATTTATCTACAAAGCAATTATTCGTATATTATTTTTTTTATAAAAAAATCATTTAAGTATTACCCAATTCTTCTAAAATCTAAAATATGAGGGTAATATTTAAAAAATAAATAAGTTGTTTATACGAATAAAATCATTTAAACCGCTTACCGTTTGTAAAATATTTCAGAAATGTTGAAATAGTCTCCCTGAACAAGGTTCTGTTCTATTCTAACTACTTTTTAAATATACAATCGAGGAGTTGGATAAAAGGGAATATTACCTTTCGCATGTGTATCCAGCCCATAGAAAGGGGTCGGTTACACCTCCACATATTCCCTGTTGTGACCTATTAAGAATATCCTTAACCTTTAAATTCCTTAGGTCTAAAATTAAGCGTTTGAAATATGAGCCATTTGTATATAACATTAAGAGAACACACCCTAAAAGGAGAAGGAGTAAAATAAGTGTATTGTTGTCATCTATATACGTATGAAATTTAATATTATATCGTCATATTAAAGTCATTAATAAACTCCTGTATTAACCTCCTACGTATACACACTAAAACATTGTCATATAATGATATGGGATATATGTGTTAATGGATTCACATGTCTGAGAACTTTCCAAATGGTGTGTTATTACGTGGTGTGTTATTACGTTTATTTCGAACGTTCTGGTAGTTTCACCTGTCAGCGCTACAGGAAGGGGGGGGGGGGTATGACAAGGACCACTGTCTAGTCGTTCGGATGGGACGAACAACCGAGGTCCCATGCTCACATTGGCGTGTACGTAAACGAACTCTTGGAATTCGATATAAGAGTAGGTCGTAGCGCTGCTATCCGGGCAAAATTTGCCTCATAACCTCCCGGCTTGGATTCAGTTTGATTTAAAATAGGCTACCATTTCTGTTCGCTCACAAAAAATGGCAGCGGGCTTATTACATAGCATGCAGCATAGATCGATGATATTTCAATTCAACATATCTAGCTGTAACAAAGAGATTTTTCTTTCGCAATAATTGTAGTTTGCAAGGAATTCATATTTTGGTAAAATGACGCAATGAGACTTTAAGAAAAGATTGTGTTTGGTCTTAAATTGTATATTCATTTTTTATTCTGGCATATTATTGCCTCAATGTACTAGTATACTATATGAAAAATGTCCACCTGCTATTTTGTGGGAGGGTTTTCTATTACCTGATGAATAATAATGATGGTTCAGAGGGAACCGCCCAGGTGTGGTAATAGCCCACGCGTATTGCTATATCTAATACTGCTAGATGTCACTAAGAGACGAGAAGGCTTGGCTTACTTTTTTGGGAACATTTGATACTACTTCACCAACGTTGATTGATTATTTTAAATACTATCGTCCACATTGTTTTCATTGACTTTCATTTAATTTGTGAACCATTAGAGTGTATTACGTACAGTTTTTGTGTTTAACTTGTAGATTTATTCTGGAATATCATTTATGCCTTACCATACACTTTAAATTGAAAAAATACGCTTGATTCAGGGTTTTTAAAATTAAACAAAGTCTGATTATTTGAACTACAGTTACTAATACGAAAAGAATGACGATCATTTATTACTTAAAATTAAATTCATAAAATCTGACACGACAACATAAACATTTTAAATATGCAGCAACCATCGTATGTTTACAGTTCTAAACTAGTTCATCCGTGAACAATAAAATTTACTATCATTTCAAACTACCCATAAAGTAAAACATTTTGACATAAACTATATGATTCCCTTTACGGAGAATTAGCGTTTCCCAAATAATAAGGCCAAATTCCAATGAAAGCTATCTTGACCAGGGTTTTAGATACCCATTCTGGTCAGCAAAGATTATGTTTTGACAGTCCTGTCTTTTATAGTACTCCTGCTTACAACCAGAACAAACTCAACCGTAACGCCATCATTGTAATGGATCTATTGACCGATATATTGGAGCTTATAATATGGTCAGCAGACTCTCCAAAAAGAAGTGCCCACTTTATATAATAACAATATCGAGTTTGTTTTCCTCTCAAAACACAAATATTTCTATTAAATACTCGGGTTCGCTGTGGCTATTCATTCAAAATAATACCTACAGCTTAAATACATAAGTATCTATACATTGTTCAATATATACCTATATACATTCTTGTGGCCCTTTTGACTACCGTGTTTGATTAAGCCCGGTACTCGAGACCTATGGTTTCATTAGTTTATACAAAACACAATAACTTTCTTTATATATAATATAAAATGTTTGATATTAATGAAGTTTGTGGTTACGCCCCAGTGAGGAATTTAAGCCAGTGAAAAGATGATATATAGTAACTGTATTCAATATATTGTAACGACGGGTGTTACATCTGATGAGTCATTATAGACAAATTATCAGGAGAAGAGGGAGAAAGATCTCCACCCAACGTAACAAGGATACAGGGGAAATATTTCAGTATTGCCCGCAATATTCTCTAGGACTAGGGTAGAAATTTAAACCCTATACTCAACTCAAATAGTTAATTCCGGGCCTAAGTCACTACTACTTAGTTTTTGCGTGGGGGAATACTTTAAAGCTCCCGGTAGACATTCCTCTCAACTCACAAATGCTGGGATGACTGACCTGTTAGATCCACAACGCAGCGTTTAAGACCACTCATCTAGCACGAGTCTATTATCTAGCTCACATAGTCCATAAAATTGGCGCCTGCGAGGTGGACAAGGAAGGTGTTGCCTAGTCCTTTGGATGTTACCAAAATCAAGTACACACCCACCCCTTTAGTGCTCTCTTCCGTGCACCTACAAGAACCCTTAATAAATTGGATTCGTGGAAGAGTAGTCAGAAACGCAGCTATCCGAACAAAGTTATATTTTACTATAAGAGTTCCACAAAATATTTGACTTACAAAAAAAAAAGCCTAACCAAACTGTTTCTTATCGAATTTTTATGAATTTTAACAAGACGTTTTGTCATTTTCTACCAAATTCCACACAAAATCCCCAATACCTTGCCATAAATGGAAAAAAATACGAAATAATGTGTTGACGATATAGACGTTAAACATTATACCTTTCCTATCCTATAAATGTCCCTTATTTATATACTTTCTATTTTTGGCACAATTTGTAAAGCGTAAATGTAAACTGAAATTTGATCGTCCAAACCAAACCCTGCATTGGTTAATATAGCCACTATCTCCATGTTAAAATATCGCATAATTTTATATTAAACAATGTAATTATAGGTGTGTATGTTTCAAGCAGCTAGATCTGGTGAATGATTTGGATGGTTATTTGGAGATTTTATTCTTTAGATAAAGTAAATCTTATAATGAAATATTTGTGGAGGTGAACCACATTTCTAGTGAAAATCATCAGTGCAAAACGCAAAAATTAATATCCTATAGGGTAACCCATATTGCGATCTCTTTCACAAATAATATTCTCCAAAAGTAATATCGTGCACAAAGTTACCAATATGTCGAAATTTCCCGAAAATAATATCGTGCACAAAGTTATACCAATATGGCGATATTTTCCAAAAATAATTTCGTGCA